CCTTCATGAACTAATTCATCCTTCATTCATTCATCCATCCATTCATCCATCCATTCATTCCTTCCTTCCTTCCTTCCTTCGTTCATTCCTTCCTTCATTCATTCATTCATTCATCCATTCATTCATCCGTCCATGCATTCAATCATTCATCCGTTCATTCATCCGTTCATTTAGTCATTCCTTCATTCATTCATCCATTCATCCATTCAGTCATTCCTCCATTCACTCATCTATTCATTTATTCATGCATTCATTCATCCATTCATTCATTCATCCATTCCTCCATTCATCCATACCTCCATTCACCCATCCATTCATCCAGCCATCCATTCATCCATCCATCCATTCTTCCATGCATTCCTTCATTCATTCATTCATTCATTCATTCATTCCCGCCTTCCTTCCTTCCTTCCTTCCTTCCTTCCTTCATTCATTCATTCGTTTATTCATTCATTCATCCATCCATTCATGTACGTATCCATCCATTCATTCATTCATTCCAATCATTCATTCATTCATTCATCCATTCATTCATTCCACCCATGCATTCACTAACTCATTCATTCATGCATTCGTCCTTTCATTCATTCATTCATTCTTTCTTTCTTTCATTCACACATACATGTTACTCGGTTGTTGGTTCGTTTATTCGGTTACTGCTGGTTTATACGGAAGGAGGGGGAATAAGTTCACGTACATCGCCTCCATGGTTTACGTGTCACGGTGTCCGGATCAAGTTTTTGGACCTTAAGCCTGCGCCACAGGTCTGATCAGAAGGCGCCAAGCTCAGCTTCCACAGCATTGCAAATGGCTGCCGGTTTCAAAGTGCGACCTTATTCTGTTGACATATATTAAGATAGATGCCTTACCAGCCTTGCCTGCAACCCAAGCCCTAAACCCTGAACCCTGAACCATAAACCCTGAACCCTACTTACTTAATGAAGTCGCCTGGATCCTCACAGGGCCGCGAAATCTGGAGCTCCTGGGTTTGGTGTTTTTTGCCAAGGCGATGGCCGCCTTGGGTTTAGGGTTTAGGGGTTAAGCATTTAGGGTTAGTGCATTGCAGTCCCTGCTCAAAAAAAGGGGTTTAGGGTTTAGAACAGAAGGTGCGAAGCTGAACCGCCGAGATCGACGCTCCATGTCAATGTAAGGAGTGTGAGATGATGATGATGATGATGATGATGAGGAGGAGGAAGACCAGCAGGCTGAGAACATTGTCTCTGGTCTTAGGGTTTAGGGGTTTAGGGTTTAGGGTATGTTAAGCATAACAAGGTAGATGTTGGGTATGATGTTGAAGATGATGGTTGCGATGCTTGCCATGTTGACGATAGATGATGATGATGATGATGATGAAGATGATGATGGTGATGGTGATGGTGATGATGATGATGTTGATGTTGATGTTGATGCAGGTTCTGGCATTATCCTCTTTCATGATTGTTCGGGAATCTCTCAGGCTCTCGCGATACGGATGCCTGGCTGAAAGTCAAGCCTCAACGTCTTTCAAGTTGTTTCGGTTTGTGGGCTCCAAATAAGTTTGCCGAGCTGACGTGACAGACTGAAGCGCGAAGGATTCAGGGACACCTTGCTGTTCGGAGTCTGGGGTGATTCGGAAGCCACGGTGTGATCTTGCGGTTCTTACATTCAGCTGCCGATTGACTCATTCTGCTTGGTGTAAGGCTTGGGGAAGAAAGTCGGAGCCGCCGCTATTTCATCAGAGTAATACTTCCCTGACATGGGTGGTTCCTTAGACGAGAATGTGTAGTTCAGGAATGGCAGTAGCGACCAGAAGCACTCCGGCAGATACACTCCTGTGCATGTCATCCGCCCTCCCGAGTCGAACAACCTAGACCCTAATCTCCGAGAATTAACCCTTAACATCCCTTAACCTTATAAATCCTAAACCCTAAAGAAACTCTGCTAAACTTTGGCCCGGCAGTGGCTGTTGAAACCCTATGCCCGAAATTCCGATCTACATCTTCCGAAACCTTGGCCCGAACTGTTTAGAGAGTCTGAGTGTGAGCGCCGAAACCCGGAAGTTCTAGAGTTCCACAAACCTTGAAGGCGAAATGTACCCTGAGAGGGTTTAAGGTTCAATTAATCGTTAATTAATCTATAGAGGTTCATCGTATAAGGGAATAGGCGCCGTACTTTTGAGGGTCATTTGGTCCTTAAGGAACCCGAAACCTTAAAGCCCTGAAGCCTAAACTTTGCAAGTCGGTGAGCGGCGAAGGATTGACGACGTGACCCAGCGGTTGACCGCACTGAAGGTACCTCCGCGACTTGTGCTTAGGGCTTCGGGTTTATTAAGGCTTTAGGGCTTCAGGGAATTACATAGGGCTCTAGGGCTTGTTTCAGGGTTTAAGGTTTGGGGTTCTTCTTGGGTTTCGGGGTTTCCGTACTTGACAAAACCGAACGTTAGTAGCAAGGGTCGCCATCTCATTCAGGGGTATGGTGTAGGGTGCTGGGCGCTTGTTCACATCAGTTTGTCAAAGCGAAAAAGATTACTTTAGTTTATGGACCGTGCATAGTCGGGGTAGTCGTAATTATCAGTCGTATGACTTTCGTTTGCTTGCCCACCCCGTTTGACATACAGGTGCCCCTTTGTTTGTTTTCTGAATCATATTCAGATCAACCAGATCGCTGCGTTGGAAAAATCTAGTGAAGGTGTGTGTGGGTCGAGGGCCTTATGGTAGTCAGAGCTATTCAAACTATGCCCGATGAGTCGTGGTATGTGCTGCACCTCGGAATTGAAATCCCCCGCGACAATGAGTGTGTCACGGCGTGCCATGCCCTGTATGGCGGCTGTGCATCTGTCCAGCCGATGTTGTCTGCGGTGTTGATTTTGCTCCGGCTCATCTGTGTGAACCCAGACGTGTTGATAAACGTTGAGAGTCTCGATCGCTGTGTCCTCCCGGCATACTTTAACTCTTAGGACTCTGCCGGGTATGAGCTCCTGGTATCGGACTATGGAGGCGTCATATGTCGGGTTGACTAGCGTGAGAACGCCTTCGCCTCTCTTTGTGGCCGAGCCAATTGCCATCCAGCGGTCGATCTGAAAGGCGCTAGAGGAGGTGCGAGAAAGACAAAGTCGTATTTGAGGCCCTCTCCACCCAAAAAAACTTTAATCGATCGCTCCATAAGAAACCTCCGAGGCTATTCACGTTGACGGACATTATTTTAAGCCTATGAGTCTGACCTCCTCGGCGTCTACATGCAGGTCGACGCTTGTGTGCTGGTAATATGTGATCTGGCCTGGCAGTGTGGAGACCCAACTGGCTGCCAGGTGTTTGCCTGCCTTAGCGTAGTTATGCTGATTCTGTGCGCATCGTCTCTGTGCTCTTCTGAAGCTTCGTTTAAAGCCTGTAGCCTCCATGACACTAGCGGCTCTGTTCACCGGCGGTTGTGCCGCCTGGTGCATGCTTCCCCACCACGTGTGGGCGGACGCTGTCTGTTGGTTTGGGTACCCCGCCTGAGCCCTTAATAAAGCAGGCAGTTGTGCAGTGGAGTCGGGCAACATAGATGTCCGAAGCCTAAACCATGATGCCGATACCATAGTAGCCACAAGCCCACACCCTACGAGCCCCAACAGTCCCTTGCCCTGAACCCCTAACGCCCACAAATCCCTCTCCTAACTACTAAAGCCCCTATATGCAACCTACGAAGCGGCCCTGAACACCGCTAGGTCAAGACCGAGACGTTGGACGGTCGCTTCGCCGCTTTCGGAGAGCGCATGGATGTCACCCGCGAGGTTGAGGCGCGGCTGCCTTTGGGCTTTGTTGTGCGGGGATTCGAATAGTCAGGAATTGTTTGTGGCCTTTTTTGCAGGCAATGTAGGGTGTTTGTTATGGTTTCTCCTGCCTCTCTTATTGTCTGAAACTCGTGAATTGTGCATCGCCGTTTATGCGTGTGGGTGGCTCACGCCCGTTCGCCTGTTTAGGCCCTGCATCAGCCTGGGCGGATGTAGATTTGCGATGCTGCCTCGAGGCATTGATAGGTGTTGACTTTGTTCGTTACAGGTTTTGGTTGTGGATCATCTGACCTGTCTTCCTTGTTCGCATAGTCCTAGTATTCACCTTGTGCACATTCCTGAAGCGATTTACCGAAGACGCCACGGCCTAACAGCATGCAGGGCTTCCAGACCATAGACATTCTATCCTCCCTTTGCTATGCCGGGAATACCTAGCATGGAAGCCATTTCCCTATTTCAGTCTGTTCGCTGTCGCCGTCGCCAGGTAGCCCTCCCTCACCTTGTAATAGGGGGCCTGCCAATCAGAGCAGGGGTTTTGGAGCATAGGATCGTCCAGCTATAAAAAGGAACCCAAAAGAATCACATTGCTTATGATTCGGATCCCTGCATATTTGTGGGTAGACCTGCTGTTTCCATGCAACTAATCAGAGCGGAACGATTACCCCGACGATTCCTGGATCGCATAACCCACAAACCCAGGGCTCTTGCATTCTCCCCAGCCCTGTAAGGCATGCACAGGCTATCGAAGCACACGTGCTCTGTGAGGTGCGCGGTCACGCATACACGGCTACGGACTTTACCGAGCGTTTAGAGGCAGGCCTGCCTCGATTGGGTTCGTAGTACTTCATCTTCGCTGTGGCCTCTGAATTATGTACTAAGAGCGGCAGAAGGCGACAGGAACACGGTTTCCAGTTCTTCAGGATGCTCTTCTGGCTTTAGGGCTTAGGCGGCTTTGTGATTTAGGGCAGGAGGATGCCTCTTTGCAGCTTCACATGCTTGGGTTTCCTGTACCTGCATTCGAAGTCGGTCTTCCCATTCCGAAGGGGTTCCTTGCATCTCAGAAAGCTTTTGGTATTGTTGGTATATAGCTTTTCGGGTTCACAGCCGCACCCATATTTCCATATAGGGCTCCAGTCACTTTAAAGAGTTAGTAGATTCATTATTGAGGTAACTGGAGCCCTAGGGTATTGCAGGCGGCTTTCCCGTGCGCCCGCCGACATAGAGTTTCACTCCCCTGCGCTCCGATGACATGTCGAGTACCGGAAAGACCGTGGTCGTTCAGCTGGACAGATCGGGTGGTTCTCAGCCGCTTGCTCGTCCAGAAAGTCCTATTTCCTCCCATTCTCGGTTGCTCTGCCCTCGGGCTCCAGCTACTTAAGCACTATGTAATGTATCAACCTTGTAACTCATTATTTGGTTGGAGGAGCCCTAGGGCTACTTACTCGAAGAGGCACCAACTTCTAGACTCCAAAGGTTCGGCATGCACGTGCACGGAGCGAACTTGACTGTGTGCTCCATTGACACCGGCGGCGTGGCTGCCGCGTGGAATCAGCAGAACCCACTGTGCCGTGATCCAAGCGAGAACTCTAGGGCTATCTTGAAAGTTTAGGGTTCGTACCCAGTGGTTAGGATTTAGGGGGTAGGGTGTGTATTCAGTGTTTCAATGCTCACCCCTTCCTTGTGCCCATGACCTGACAAAAGTTGCGATGCACAATGAGCGAATGCATGCACTCCTTCTAATGTCTATTACCCTACCGCAACACCTCGCACCCTTGCAGTCGTCTGCCCTAAACCCTAAACCCCTAAACCCTGAACACTAAACTCTCAAGCAAATAATAAGTTGAAGTTGTATAGAAAAAGCGGGGCTTATTCGAGTACGACAGGACAGCGTGGCGAAAAGCGGTAGGCAAAGCAAAGATAACACCAAAACCCCATTGCGGGCAGGGCAGCAGGGCAGCGGAGAGCAGGGGGAGGCAGCAGGCAAGGCAGGCAGGGCAACCAAAATCCGAAAAAACGAAAGCAAAAACCGCCCAAAACACCGTCAAAACTCCGCACCCACACGGCATACAACTTCCATAAACCCTAAACCCCAAACCCTGAACCCTGATAGGATCTTACAACATCTAGCTGTTGCCTTGAAGCCCAAGGTGGCCCTAACCCGAGGAGATGAGGGCTCATGGGCTTCAGGGTTTGGGCATGCATATTTCGTGTATGTTCATATGTATGTATGTATGTATGTATGTATGTATGCATGTATGTATGCATGTATGTATGTATGTATGTATGTATGTATGTATGCATATATATATATATATGTATATGTTCATTTATATTACACACTCAAATAAAGCAAACATATATGTGTTTTTATATTCAGCTAGAGAGATAGATACATAGATAGATAGATGGACAGGTAGGTAGATGGATAGCAATATAGATAGTCCACAGATGGTAGAGTTTAATTGGTCGATACCGTATACATATTCATGTGCATGTATATATAAATATATATATATATGTATGTATGTATGTATGTATGTATGTATGGATATATATATATATATACGCACACATACTTACATATGTATGTATGTGTGTATGTATGTATGTATGTATGTATGTATGTATGTATGTATGTATGTATGTATGTATGTGTGTACATACACACGCACACACACACATATGTACATATATATATATATATACATATCAAAACCCGCACGCCTAAACGTATAGCTAACATCACACTCCGCGCAAATCGGTAGTCTTGACTCTAGAAAGTCCGGAGAACTGTACGCCCCAAAGTACACCTGGTAAGCCAAAGGTGGGCTATCGGCATCGGTGATCGCATCCTGGCCGTGAATGGGGTTCGGAGCCGGGAAGTGATCTTGGAACAGCTCTCCACCGCGCGGGTTCCTTGGACTCGGAATGCCATCACGGCTTGCATGCAGCAAGTCTGAGTGTGTGAGCTTCAGCCATCCCCAAACCATAAGCCACAAAAAGTAAGATAAGCCAGTGGTGCAAGCTACAATATGAAATCAGGTAAACGCTGTCCGGTAAGATTATTTAGTGAGAGTAACTATTCCCTAACCTTGCCTAAAACAGAACCTGCAGCCAGGTAATCTCTATCCTGCTGCTCAAGAGCAGCAATCGGCCGTCCTTGCCGCGGCCTTTGTCCAGCTTCTCTGTGCAGCTGGCGCGCCTGGCTCACGAAGACTTCGGGATCGAGGTCAATGCTGGCACCATGGAGGTGATACTGGTAGATTTAATCGCGACACATACCAGCCAACTCTCTAAACCCTTCAGATCATACGCACATTCTGCAGAGGTGACTGGCATTCAGAGTGATGGTCGAGCTGCCATGTGGCTGGGCACCGGACGGTTTAGCATTGAGTGTTGCGCACTGCCCACCTTCAATCGTAAATCCCAAATCACGCTGGCTTGTGGCAGTTGTGAGAGTCGAAATTCTGCATCCTAAACCTAGCTGCCCTAGCTTGGTACTTGTTTGGTTGCCCTGATTCCGATTCGTTCACGGTTCGAAGCCGCAGAGCCCGGTCCCCTCCTTAACCTTTGTCATAGTTGGGTAACATTTTACATTTTTAAGGGTACTTAAACCCACTAAGGAATATAAATGTAAATTTTAATAATACCCCAACCATGAAACAGTAACTCCTACCCACTCCTTGGTTCGATACGAAGTAGTTTTTTTACCACTGACATACCTTCGTCCCGATATGGATAGTTCTCTGAATTAGGGTCCCCTTTTAGGTCCGCAATATAATACGGCACCCTTATAAAAAGGACCCTAAAAAAGGGACCTTAATTTAGACAACTACCCATATGCACACTATCCAAGTCCCTGACGCCCTAACCTTCATCCGTCCTTCTGCATACAAGCCTCCATAGACTGCCAGAAACCTTTCTACAAAGCTTTTGCAAGCCCTCAGAAAGCCCGTGAAGAGTCCATGTGCTCATCAACTAAACCCTAAAAGTCCATGTGCTCATCCCAGGTGGAACTTAAATCATCCGTTCCAGGCTATGGTGGTCGGTGACTGCCTCGTTGAGGTCCGCGGAGTCTGATCGGTTTAGGGTTTTTTTTTTCGAATCGCGACGTTTAGGGTTTAGGGTTTTGGGGTTTAGGATTTAGGGTTTTGGTGTTGAGGGGTTTAAGGTTTGGGATTCGGGAAGCTAGCGGCATCAACACGCTAAACCCAGCTCTGGAGGTGAACGGTCTTCACGGCGAGAGCATGGCTTCTCTTCTTCAAGAGGCCCTCTTGGTGGATATGGTCTTGCGGAGAGGCACTGGCATCGCGAGTTTCGGCACCTTTGGGATACGGCTACCTCCCGGCGATTCGGTGGGACTTGAAATGAACAAGGTCTTGGAGGTGCAGAAGATCGATGCAGGAAACCTGGTGGCGAAGTGGAATACCGAGAATCCGGCTTGTCGGCTGCATGTGGGTGACAAGGTGCTGCAGGCCAACGGCAAAGCAACTGCACCAGAAATACTGCGCGAGCTCTCTGCATCAGCTCGCACCGGGTTGACATTGGTAGTTGCGGAAGCAGAGCGGCGCATGGATGTCAAAAGCAGACAGGTCTACACTTTCAAGGACTGCCAGAAAGAATGGCCCAAAGATTCCGAGCAAGAGTGGGCGTCCATGGTGTCTGCAGATCAAGCTACTCAGTACTAGAGTAGGTAACCAGTACCTTTTTCGGGGTATTTTAGTCCCACTGTCAGGTTTCCATGCATCCTGGACAACTAAGGCTAGTATGCCCTCAAGCCCACACGCTTGGGCTGTCCGTTTGAGGAGGTCCGAAGGCCACGGCTGGGGTTTAACCGTTGACCCGAAGTCGCTGAAAGTGCAGCAGATTTCCGATGAGGGCCTGATGGCCTTCTGGAACCTGTCGAATGCATCGAGCGCTGTGCTCACTGGAGACCGGATTGTGCAGGTGAGCGGCGCAGACCAGGGAAAGGCAATGTTGCAAATCATGAAGCAGGCTGAGGAGATCGAGATGTGCATAACCCGGGATACAGATCTGGGAAGCACGGCCCCTGTACATCTTCTGAAGGTACCAGGCTCGAAGCTTGGCGTTCAACTGAACGAGGACGCCGTCGTCAAACAGGTCCTGCAAGGCCCTGGGAACCTTGTGGCTGCTTGGAACTCGAAGGAGCCGGCCGCCTCCGTGCGCAGGGGCGATGTTATCAAGCAGGCAGGCCCTTACACCTCCCTGGAAAGGATCTTCCTGTATTTACAGGAGCAGCAGAGATTACATCTGATTGTTTTAAGGGCCCAACGACGGATGGACCTGGACGGAGCTGTGCTAACTTTCGAAGAATGTTCGGCCAAGCACTCTGCAGCGGCCGCACATTGGGCAACGATGCATCCCGTTCCGGCGGCACCTGTGGCGATTGCGACCCCGGTGTCATACGGGGGGTTGCAGCAACCAGAAGAGGAGACTTCAGACATCGGGTCCTATACGGCACCCAGGTCGCTCCTGAAAAGGCCGGACTTCTACTCCACCCTAGCCGGTTGGCAGACAAGGGGTCCGCAGGCTCTTGCAAGCGAGGCGATCAATCATGACAACATCGAGATTCCTGCTGGATCTGTTTTCGCCTGCCCATGCTGTGCCCGGCCCAGTGTACCTTGAGATGAGGGCAGCTCCCCAGAGTTTGGAGTCTTTTAGGGCTTGTCTTACAACCTCCTTGCATCTTGATGGTCTACTCCTCTGCAGCTACGAAGACGCCCTGGAGCTGGCTTGCACAATCAATTAGAGACCCTAGACCCCTAGTCCTACATACATGTACATACATGCATACATGCGTACATACATACTCTCTCTCTCTCTCTCCTGTATATGTGTATGTACCGATTACAGATAGCGTACATACGCGCATGTAGGCAGAGCCAGAAGGTTCAACAGGAAGGTAGGAAAAGGAGCGTGGGTTCCGAGTTCCCTACGGGGTTTAGGGGTTAAAGCCGCTCTGCATCGCCCAGGTGGTCGCTTCTTTGCTCTCCGTACAGAGGCAAGCGGTGAGGTCGTGTCCTTAGCGGTCGGACCTGCCGAGGCCTTGTCGCCAATGAAGGCTGCAGCAGGTGACAGCAGTACCAAGGATGCCCCCCAAGCCCTGCCACAGATAGGCGATGTTTCGGAGCAGTCTTTGCCGAAAGCCGAGTTGCAAAAATGTGTCTGTTCGAACAGCGCAGATGGAAGACGTAAATTGGACAGTCCCTTCGGGATAGTTACTGTTCGATTGGCTGTCGGTTCATGCGAGCTGTTTACCCTGCACATCGCACAGCGACGACCGCATCCACAATATCTGATATATGGCTTGTGGTTCAGAGCAGTAGCTTTGGGGTGCCAGGTCGTCATGGTGCAGGGCTGACGCTATGGCTTGGAGTCTGGGGTATAAACCCTAAACCCCTAGACCCTAAACCCGAAAACCTGGAATTTGGCATGAAGTTTTTGTTGGGGGGATCTGGCTCATGGAAAACTTGCAACTGCATTGCTCGATCAGAGGGCGGTTTAGGGATACCCTTTTGCAGCAGGCTTCTCTCGCCCGGAACTGCCGTCGCCGTGAAGCAGTGCAGCACTCATGTATCCCTAAACCCTAAACCCCTCAACCCAAAGCCCTGTGGAGATCCTCGGCCATCTAAACCCTGAGCCCTACAGACCCTAAACCCTAAACCCTAAACCCTAATTCAGGAATTATTCCAACGATCCCTGGCAACAAGTCGGAGGATGGTGTTCTCCCAGTTTCAACAAAGGGTTCTACACTCCCAAACCCTGAACCCTAAACCCTTACAACCCTAAACCCTTACCGTATACCCTTATACCACTGCAAGACCTAAGCCTTCACTTTGGGCCAGGACGTGGAGCAGCGGCTGGCAGCCTTGAGCGAAAATTGCGAGGAATTCGTTGAGCAGGCTGGGGGGGCGGGGGTCTGGTAGGATTCCTAAACCCTAAACCTTGAAAGGTTTATTTGATCGGACTCCTGTGAGGGTTTCGATCACTTGAGGGTTCGATGCAACTGTTTTGCTTATGAAATTATGTAAGGTGTCCTTGGTTAGATGCGTCCACCAAACCAAAGCTCCATCAGCGCTTTTTGACGTCTCCAGACGTCAGTCCGAGCCCCTGGGCCGTGGTACCATCGTAGGTGCACAGGGTATACTGAACCTACCGTGAAGCCTAAGCCTGAGACCCTAGACCCATGAGCTACCATCTGAGAAGTCATGAAAAGCCTTGGAACCGATCCTCATAGCCTATAGCACTTAGAACCCAGAAATGCCGAAAAAATAGATGGCCCTCCCAACATCAGCAGATCAAGCAGCAGGAGCCCAACGGTGAGTAAACCCGGCGTTCAGCCCCATTCCTCAAACCGCCCCCCAACACCCCGAACCTTCAAAGAGGACAAACTTTAGTACTAGAATGCCCTTATCGTCTCTTCTATGCTGACACATTTTCTTCGTAGTTCCCATGCAACTCTACTCAACCCCCGTGCCCTAAACCGAACCCTCAAGGGAGCCGCAGAGGCCCTGGAGAATCGCTTGGCTGCCCTTGCAGAAGCTCTGCCGCCGCCGCTGACGCCGGGGCCCTTGCAGCACATCAAAGCATTTAAATGAGGATTTAGGGCTCAGGGGCAAAAGTATGTTCATGGCCTTCAGACTCGAGTATTGTGTTACCATATACAGTATGTGCAGCATGATATGGTATAGTATCATACGTCCGAACATGATAAAGAGCGCAAAGCAGTTTTAAGGAAATGGACCTTGCACTAGAACAAAAGAACGCAGCAAGCACAACGCAATATATTAAATATGATGTTATCTTTCTAACAAAAAAGCCTCTGCACTGACAACACAGCGCAGTATACTACAGTGGGTACACACACACACACACATATATATATATATATATATATATATATTTATTTATTTATTTATGCACATATGTATATATACATATACATATATAAATATCTTCTACATCATAAGCTGCGATATTAGAACTGAACATCATAAAGTTCAATGTATTCTACTTGAATAGAATATAAACTAGAATACGATAGACTAGAGTAGGATAGGTTTAATATGTAATAAACTAACCACAGTATGATGCAATACCATGAAATATATTATGTGATTGCATGAAGTGTCATCAAGACTACTGAAATCAAAGAGCTGCCCTAGAGGAATACGAAATATGTATGTAGAAGTTTATATAGCGTAACGTAGAAGGTTTTGTATATTGTAATATTGTATTGTAATATGTTGTATCCTACTTTATGCTTTAGTTCACTATACGGAGCTATATGATAGTTTACTTCACTGTAGCATCATGCAATACTACAAAGCAGATAAGAAACGACATATAGCACAACCGTATAACATGTAACCTGCATTATCTAGTATCCAAGCATATTTAAGGTTTCACTATATATTCGTAAGAGAGGATATGGTATTATCGTTGTATTTAACCTTGTACATACTGTGTTATCCTGTACAAAACAAATATACAAAACAAAATCGATGGCAGTTTAATGTCATATCATATTGCAAGTATGTACTGTAATATGAAATGACAAAAATAGGTTGGGACAGTAAATGGCTTGGTAGAGTTTGGTAGAACATGCTGTAATGTGACACAACCTGATCAAGTGCTCACCGGTTAACTTAGCGAATATATTCTATTAGCAGTACAGATATGTGGATAGTGCATGTTTGTGTACATGCTTGTGCGGAGTTTGGGTTCAGGAAATGTGTGTTTGTCGTTCTTGTTTCAGGCCTGTAGTCACGTGTCTGTGGGTTCCAGGGGTCTTTCATGATTTGAATGCCTGGAGTGCTCCTGCCGGCAGCTCTTGCTAAAAGGATTTTGTCTACAGCTAAGAGGTCTATACTGACACAAGTAGAGGTTGAAGTTTAGGGAGCTTCGTAAGTAGGGTCTCAAGTAAGGCAACCATAGTTATGTCGACGCATGCCCCCCCAAGTAAAGATAATTGATGTGCCTATAGACCCTACTTATTCAAAAACGATGGACTGACTCTGTTTGCGGGCGAAAGAATTAGGATCTTGGCCTCTTACTTCAAGCACGACATATTTCAATACACGAAATAAGCTGTGTTCTTAAGTATACTTGTTCTATGTTGTGTTATAGTGTATTGAACCAGAAGATGTTATGTTACGCGGCCATGGTTTTCTTGTTGCATTTTATGATGTTGCTTTATTTCATGAAGGGCTGTGCTGCCGATTCCGCTGGTGCCAGACATGCCCCCTTTTGCTGCATAGGTCGACGACGACCATCCGACCCTCTTGCAGTCGTCCCCTCCTCGGCCACGGGACACTTGCTGGCTGTTGTCGAAACTAGCAGTAACTAGCAGAGGCACCTTACCACTTGGCTTACGAGACCAGGATGCAGGCATCGTGGAACTACACGGTAATGAAGCTGGTGCCACTCTCCCTGCCTCCATGGCTTTCCACACCGCAACTTCGAACCCTAACCCCATAATCCTGAACCCAAAGATCATGCAATCTCAATCCGTCCTCAACCCCAGCCCCCAGATCCGTTATGAATAAAAGCAGACTCCTCGTAAACCTTTCGGAAACCGAGTGGCAGCAAAAAATCCCGCGGAGTTCTCCCTGGAGACCGCTAACCCTGAACCTTCGCTCGGCTGCTTCGTCCCTGAAGTTTGGGTGCTTGTGCCCTTCTCCGATTCAGGGTTTGGCGCTTCGGGGCTTGTGGCAAGGTTCGGTCGTGGTTCAGGTTTAGGAGCTTAGGTTTCTACTTGGGAGTCTAGGGGGCTTCGGGGTTTTAGGGTTTCTAGGTCAGGCTT